AAGGAAGACAAAAGTGCTCCTGGCGTCGCACGACTGTTCACTGCTGCCATGATGGCTTCAGGTTCAGATGTAGAAACCAACATGGTCACGACTTGTCTTGCTCTTACTTCAAGCATGCAACAGTCTAAGGTCTATGCATGTTTATCCTTCCTGTTCTGGAGCTCCAGTATGTTTTCTGCTCAGGAACGTCACTCTACTTCTTGGGTTCTTCTATCAGTAACCCCGGTATGACCATCGTCTTGGAGAACCTTTGTGCAAAATGCCTGTGGTGTATGCTTCCTGGTGTCATGGCTTTCATCTTTAGGTGCTGCAAAACAGCAAAGCCCCAAATACCAAGTCCCACCACCCACGCAAAATTCCCCAAATGCAAAGCCCTGAAGCCCGATTATAATTATAAAAGCTGCAGCATAGTGAAGGAGGGCTTTGTGTTCCGAGGGTGGACCACATCTGCGACATTTGCGTGCCAGGAGATAAGTAGCAAGTACCGTCACTGGATCGTGAAAAACCCTACGAAAACGACGATGGCAAACCCAATTCTCGAACTCCAAGTATCCATTCAGGACCCTGTGAACTGTGATCTCCCAACACGCGAAGATCTGCCTCCAAATCATGCGAACACAGGCGTAGAAATCAACTTCCTAACTGGGAAACTGACTGGGTAAAGGTTTGCAGTTTCAGGTGACCCGAAACTCTAAACCTCACTGGTGGAATTCTGGGAGATGGGCTGGAGGCCCCAGAGGAGGCGCAGCATACGTCGGCACGCCCGCCTCTGCTTGTCTAAGGGCCTTGATGATTTGAATAGGATCAGATCTGCTTAAGATTGCATAAGGTGCAGTGATGCCCCGAGGTGCTCATGGCGTTGAAGGGTAATCCTCTGGGTCTAAGGTTCACTAGCGTTTAGGCAGGCGGGGGAGGGGTGGTGTTAGGGCACGATGTACAGTGTGGAAGCTTAGGATTTTGGGTGTTCAGAGCCTTAGGGCTCAATTCGGGGCTTCATGGTTGAGCTTCGAGTTTGGGTGGGGGCTTGAGGGTAGAGAGTCAGCAACTCATTGCCAAACCCTAGCAGCATAAGCAGTAAACCCCAAAGCCCTAAACTGCATTCTCCCCGCTATAAACCTTTATTTGCAGAGCATAGACCCCGCGGTGTCTCAGCCAGCAGCCCCTGTAGTCTGTCGGCTAGAATCCGAGAACAGATCTTTTTTCAAGACTGTTCAAGAGATAGGATGTGCTCCATGGCTTATTCTGCATGTTCCAGGCTTCTTGCTTCGGGCCCTGCGCTTCTTCATTCGGGGCCTAAGCTAGAGCGTAGAGGACAAGGGCCCTCAACCCGAAACCCCATTTCGGGCCGGTTGTCTGCCTACTTTGACATGCGCCTGTGGCATAGGCGGGGCATAGGGCGGCACCTGCTGCAGGCGGCGCTTCAGGGCTTCGGGTTGCCGGTTTTGGCGTAAAACGCCCCTGGCTTGTGAGGGCAACATGTTGCAGAACCCTTGAAAATGGTAGAAGGAATCAAGATGACCCGTTCGCGGAGATGGACGGACAAACCTTGAAAACTACGGCAGATCCCATACTTGGCAACCGTAGCAGCAAGACAGCGGTGATAAACGCGAAGCCCTGAGCCGGGAATCCCAGATCCTAAAAAAAGGGTTTTGGGGGGTAGGTAGAAGTACATTAGGATCATTACATCTTCAGGGTTTAAAGCTTTAGGGTTTAGGGTTAGGGGTTTAGGGTTTATAAGGGTTTAGGGAATCACAACCAGGGTGCTCGTTAATCCATGTGCCGGGGAGCCTGACCCCCGCAATCCCGCGGCTGGCGCCCTCAACCTGGATTCCCTAAAGTCCTCAATAGTAAACCCCCCCCAGAGCTCTAAAGCCCTAGACCCCTTAACCCCAAGACCCTACTAGATAGACCCCATGAACTCAAGATCCCTTACGCTCCACAAACCCTAAAGCCCGAAATCAGAACCCGAAATCCTGAAGCCCCAAAGCCTCAAACCCCAAACCCGATACCGGGCAGGGCAGGGAAGGCCGGGGCAGGGCTACACTTAACCCTAAGCCAGCCCTAAACCCAAAACCCTAAACCCTAAACCCTAACTAAACCCTAAACCCTAAACCCTAAACCCTAACTAAACCCTAAGCCCTAAACCCTAAACCGTAACCCTAAACCCTCGCAGCCTGATAGAGCTGCTGATAAGTCGAGTGAAGCAACGCCGCCTTGTCCTCGACCTCTTTATGGACTTCGTTTTTTTCGGGCTCTGGGGTTTTAGGGTTCAGGGTTTAGGGTTTAGGGTTTAGGGTTCAGGGTTTAGGGTTTAGGGTTTGGGTCTTAGGGTTTGGGGTTCAGGGTTACGGTTTAGGGTTTACGGTTTGTTTAGGGTTTCGAGGCTCAGGGCTTAGGGCTCAGGGCTTGCGGCTCCAGACTTTAGAGCTCATGGGGTTCTGGGTTTACTTGGACTTGGTGTTCGGGCTCTGGGGCTTATAAGGTTAAGGTGTTCTAGAATTTGGGGCTCTGGGGTTTGAGGGTCTACGGTTTCAGAATTCGGGGTTCTGGGCTTTCGGAACACGGTTTTTTGTTGGTCTAGGCTTAGGGTTGGCTTTTTTTGAGTTTCAGGTTTCAGGGCATCTTGGTTCAGGATGCTGGTGTTTAGGGTTCCAGGGTCTAGCAGGGGCGGGGGGGCAATAACCCTTCAGAGTATGCCTGACCCCAAACCCTAAACCTTGAAGAACATCATGCATTCCAGATGTGTGTGATTTCGTGATTTTCGGCTGAGGTTTCGCGACTGCTTCAAGCCTTCAACAGAGCCAGAACAGACTGTAAAACGCTTTGCAACTACAACAACCAAAAAAGAAAGAAAAGGAGCATCTCATCAGTCACTGGACCTTCTATGTCAAGCCCGTGTAGTCCCACATCGCCCTGTGGACAGTGTATGTATCTCCACTAAAGATCTATGAGGCATGCCCCCCCGGTTCAATTTGGAGCAAGCTTCGTGCCTTTGTCTAATGACTATAGAGGTTAAGTAGTGGGCTCAAGACTGCTAGAAACAAATGGCCGAAGCCTAAACCCTACTCCCTAAACCCTCTGGGTCCCAATCCGATCTTTGCTTTAGGGTTTGGCGTACAAAGAATGGCGTAGGAGGGTGTGTCTTCTCAACTTTCAGATGCTGGCCGCCTCAAGTCATTCGAAACCAGTTTCAGAAGGCACGGGGCTAAGGTCGGCTTAGAGTGGGCACCCAAGTCCTTCCTAGTGGTTTGGTAGTTAAAGGAGTTCGCATTCCCCACAAGAAGCTTCAACCTCAAGCCTTCGGCTGGACAATCACAGCACTTGAAATCTTAAAGTCTACTTCGGCTCATCACCAACCTTTTATTGTACGTATAACCATAAGTTTGGAATGGTGGATACCCTAACTTTACATCCGGGCTATGCCCAGACCTTCTAAACCCCTTAATTAGGAAATATACCGCAACTCATATTAGGGATCCATACTGCAATTTAAGGGTACTTTTCCATAATCCGGGGATTTGGGAAGGTCTAGGTGATAAGCCTGAGTACTCCGGTTGATGATATACATCCTGCATGACCTTAAGGACCCTAAACTATGGGAATTATGGTATATTCCTTATGATGGGTAATGCAGGATTTATGTCATGCACCGCATGACGGCCTTCATGAAATCCTGCATTACCCAGAATAAGGAACATACCA